CAGCGGGCTGGGCGGGGGGTCCCCGGGGACCGCGGGGCACGTGGAGGGCTGCGGGGCCATGTGCGGGCTCCCCGGCAGGTTGTGGGGCCGCCAGGGGGGTCCATCACAGGTGTGGGGTGTGCAGTGGGCTGTGGGGCTAAGTGTGGGGTCCCTGGGGGGCTGTGATGCCATGTGGGGAGTTCTGGGGTGGGGGGGGCACATGAAGGGTTGTGAGGCTGTGTATGGGTGTCCTGGGGGGCTCTGGGGTCCCTGTGGGGCACATGTGGTGCTGTGGGGCCATGTGTGGGGTCCCTGGGGGGCTGTGGGGCACATGGCAGCGTGTGGAGCTGTGGGGGACACCCAGCGGGGTGCAGGGCTGTGCGAGCACCCTGGCAGGGTGCAGGGTTTTAGCTGGGTGTGGGGCTCTGTGGGACCCAGGTGGGGACCGGGGCACCTTTGCTGGCCCTGGCTAGGCCTGACCGCCTGTTCTCGCCTCCGTGTTCCAGAACAAGATAGTGGATCAGTGCGAGCGGCTCCAGCTGCAGAGTGCTGCCATAGCCAGGCACATGGACGAGGTGCTGCCAGCCAAGAACCAGAGCGTCCTGGTAACTCCCTTCCCTCCTCCCAGGGTGGCGGGGCTGGCACGCGCTCGCCCCGCTTCTCCGCTCCCCGCTGGCCTTCATGGCAGAGGTCTGCGCTGCCCACGTGGCCTGCGAGGGCTCCTCCATTTGCAGTTTTTTGCTATCCCCCTCACCTGGCAGCTGTTTTCCATGTGCAAGCTGGCAGAAACTGTTGGTGCTCTGGCTTGATTTGAGCGAAGACAGATGTTTCTTCCCTCTTTTTGCTGTGGCAGAACGGAGCCAGTGAGGCACGGGAATTAGTGATTCAGAGGCTGATCTTTGTGAGAAACATGATTGAAAACGAAGAGCAGCGATTGCTGGAGAAGGCACACACGGAGGAGGAGCGGGCGCACCAGAGCATCCTGACACAGCGCGTGCACTGGACTGAGGCTTTGCAGAAGTTGTCTGCCCTCCGAACCTACCTGGTGGACATGATCACCAACTTGGATGACCAGGACCTGGTGGTAAGTACTGCTCGTTGTGCTGAGGGACTTCAGTCAGCCTGGAAGTGAGCCTGGACTTTCTATCATGGATCCAAAGGGGTACAAACATGGGGTCGAGGAGCTGGCTGCACTGACAGCAAAGAAGTCAGAATTGGACAGGATCTCGGTTTGCAGATCTAGCTCAAGAAAGCCCCTTCAGCTGCTGCTGACAAGCCATATGGATTCTCAGTGGTTCCTAGAAATGGTGTTCTGCCTGGTTTTGCCTTTTCCTTAAGTGAGGTCTAGTTGTCAGAACTACCATCTAGGCTCAGCTCTCCCAGATGTTGTCTTGGTGCTTAGGTGTCTTGCAGTCTTGACAGTGGGACGCAAGATGATAAATTCTTTATGTTCGATTGTTGGCGTTGGCATTTGTAGGTATTGGGAGCTAAAGCACCTCATGTTGCAGGGAAGTAGAAGCTGCACGTGGGTTTACTGCGCAGCTCTGCACTTGGGAGCAGGCTGTGTGTATATTTTTCCACCCCTTTCATAGTAAGGGTAGCCCTTGAACAGTGCAAAGGCACCATCGTCAGCGGGTAAGGAAACAAATAGAATTGATCCCAAGGTTATATGACTCTTGGCTTAGATTCTCTAACCCATGTAGCAACAGGGCTACATCTGGGCTAGAACCTAGGCAAAACCACACACTTTTTTGGACAGTTTTTAGCTAATACAGGCCCTACCATACAAACAGAGTGAGCAGTTGGGGTAAGAGCAAAAGAAGGCCTGGAATGTAAGCAGGAATTTCTCTCCCTCTTTTTTTTTTTTTTTTTAGTCCTCTGAGGCCCTCCCCTTGTCATAGTTGAGGAATTGAGACTTGCCATGTTCCTGTGCTGCCCAGTGCAGTTACATGCACCTCTGAAATGCTGGGGGTCAGAGAACTGGTGCGGGGCCGGCACATAGTGGCCACTATATTAAAAACAGAGGATTTTGTTTGTTTTCAAATAGCTCTGTTATAACTGTGCTGGTGTGCTGCAGGGAAGGTCAGTGTCTGGTAAATTCTTTTGTCCCACAGAAGCACTTTTCCTGTTCTGAAAAAGGCCCTGAGGATGTCAGAGCAGCAGGATGGTTTTACCTCTTATCAAAAGCTCTTGGGGTTGTTTCCTGTAAGCACAGGATGTTCTTGCAGAGTGCCCTGATGGGATGGGGGAGAAAGGACACAGAAGAGAGTCTGACTGCCGACAAACTGTCAGTCTGAGGGTTTTCACACCTTGGCTAAGGAGAGGTGCAGCAGTAAGAGCGCTGCATGCCCGCAGCCTAGTGTGTGTCAGCAGGGTTTGGAGGCAGATCAGATTCTTTTCAGCTCCAGAGATCTTCTACCTGCTGTAGATCTCCCACACGTTTCCCTTGCACCAGGTGATCCAGCAGTATTTGCAGGACTCTCTGCTCTAATAGTGCTTGTGTTACTCAACAGAGCTCTGTCTAGAAGTCCTAACGCTCTTCAAGAACCACTGTCACCCAGCCCCACTGGCTCAGCAGATATTAGCCCTGGACGCATGGAAGGTGCCCCCTATTTGGCCATTCCCACTCATTTTCTGTGTGAAGGAGTAAAAAGGGCTCTGCAACTACAGACCACGTGTGTTAGACACCCGCCCTGCTCTGCAAGGCCAAGGTTGGGATGGGGAATTGCCCTCTTCGGGGCAGTGCTGCTGGGGCACAGGCCGGCAGCAGACAGGTGTGTGGAGGAAATGGGCCTCTCTGATGTGCTGCTGCCAAGCACGCAGGATTTTGGGTGTTGGGGGCTTCTGCAGGGAGTCTCTGGAGCTGTCAGAGAAGCTCTGGAGCAGCTCAGAGAGGCTCTGAGTGTGGGGATGAATAGTCAGCAGAGCTGGGGAAAACAAGCCTGAAGAGGATCTCTCCACTGTGTCTGGTGGGTTCTTCTTGTTCCAGCTTGGTTTCTCAGGATGGTGGTAGCTTGCTCCCCACATGAGGCATTACCAGCCTGTTTTGAGGCAGGGCATCTCCATGGGGTTTGCTGAGCCCCTGAAGAGCTGTAGTCCCTGGAAGCACTTGGCCTGTGTTTGGGGTTTTACACATGGAAATTTCAGCTGCAATGACTCTTTCTCTCCTTGTCCACAGCATGCAGAACAAGAGATCTTTGAGAGGTTAGTACCCAGCAATTCCTTGGCCTTTTCCTGACCTGTTCTGCAAGCTTGGCCGCACCCTTCTCCGCTCCTTCTCGCTACCTCTCGGAAGCAGGTGACACCCTTCTCTCTCTTCCTTGAGCTGCTTTTGTTGAGGACAGACCAGAGAGATGCCAGCAGATCCTCCTGTCTTTGCTTCACTGCAGCTCAGGCAGAAACCTGGCATCTAGAAACGCTAGGAACCAGGACACAGTGTCCACAGGGGCTTTGACACCTGCTCTGGCACTCGCTTACAGGAGACCCTTTCTAGGTCTTTAGAAAGCTCCATGGGGCTCCCTGGGAGCAAACCTGGCCCTGGTCAATTGACAGCAGGACTGTCTACCTGGAACACTGTTGTGCTTTGTGCCTGCAGAACCCCAGGCGCAGCGTTGCCTGGAGGGTAACGTGACCGAGCTCTGTGCTCACGCCGCCTCCTTCCTGGGCAGACAGACCCTTTGCACCATGTCAGCAAGTGGGGACCAGCTGCAGATGTCGATGCGGCTGAAGGTCGCCTCCGTACTAACATTAGGCCGCCCTTGCTTGTGAAAGGGGCTGGGCAGCTGGAGTTTTACAGGCAGTTCAGTGGCCGCTACAGCAGTGGTAAGTAGCACTGGTGGATTCTGCTATACAGAGACCTTCCAGGAGTATTTTTGCCTGTAGAGACACAGTGACCCACAGCACATCACCAGCAGCCAGTGCCAGAGCCTTTGCTTGCAAACAATGAGTTCCATGCGTATGCAGGAACCTGTCAAGCCCTTCATCTCCTGGCTCTGCTCCGTGAAATGTCCTGGAGTGCTGGCTTGCTTTCCGTAGCATCCCCCTTTGCCCTAACAATAAGGCTTTGTTGAGCAAATGCCTCCCGGGGAAATCTGATCGTCCCAGCACAGCCTGTTCGTTGTAGTTGTATTTCGTGTGTCTTGATGACTGTGCTCAGATCCATTCATTCTGTGTCAGCTGAGTAAGGAAGCTGTTGACTCAGGCTACCAGGCTTGTGTTTTAAAACACTGAAGTCCTTTCAGAAGTGCCTGTAATCAAAGCTAACCGAAAATATCAGGTAAGAGGCAGAGCTCATCTAGAAACCTTTCCCCAGCATAGTTTCTCTGCAACAAGTGGTGCTCTTGCAACATCTCCAGCTCATATTTCTATAATGCTTCCTAGTGATCTTTATAAGCACTTCCCAGCTCAGGTCAATAAATCAATGCTTCAAAATAACCCTTCTGTTTCTTTGCTAGGACAGAGGCAGCGGAGGGAATCTTAGAGCCACAGGAGTCTGAGAAGTTAAACTTTAATCAGAAGTGTGTTCAGAGTCCATTGCTGCACCGATTATGGGCTTCTGCGGTTCTCTGCTGCGTCACAGGTCAGTGTCTTGCTCAGGTCTCGTGTTCTCTGGTGAGTCCTGCAGCAAGGTCATTCATTTTGTGCCCAAGGAAACATCTGATGCTATGATACATCTGCCCAGTGTTTAAAAGAAGGGGAATGTTGGGAATAAACACGTAGTTTCAATCCATGCTTCAGAGTTTGTGCACTAACATGGGAGCTGAGCCACAGGGACAGCTGCTCACGAGTGTCCCAGGGAAGCAGTAACTGTCCCTTGCCAAAGGCAAGTCGTGGTGCCCTGGTTGCTCCAGCCACAAGGCCGAGCAAGAAGAGGAGCCGCTAAACTGGTGGACAGCACAGGGTGCTCTGCTGCTGGGTGCAAACTGGCCCAGGACCCAGCCTGGAGGCAGCCTGGCCTCGGCCCCCTCCGCAGCTGCTGGAGCCACAGGGCACTCACTGCTGCGGGGCCTGGAACAGGAGGTGACGGAGGCAGCTCTCGTAGGGAATTTGGGACAAGGCAGGGGACAGTGGTTGAAAGCAGCTGGTTGTAGCTATGAGGAGAAGCTGAGTTTGAAAGGACCATAAAAATGAGTCTCCCTCCATGCTCTCACTTGGTGGGGTTTTTTTTTTTTTTTTCCTATTTTCCTGGATTGTTCAGACACCCCAGGAAGAGCAATGCTGCCACAGGAATCTTTGTTACAGGAATTCTTCTTTGCCCCTTTCAGCACTGGTCTATTGGTAATTTTAAAAGAGGGTAAATTTGCCCATCTCTGTAAGAAGCTCTAATGTGCCAAAATGAGAAATAGATAAATGCAATAGTTTTAAGAATATAAGCTGAGGCAGCGGCTGCGCAGGAGCTGGCGGTTTGTTCTGAATCACCTGGGATCTGTGATTCAGTCCAGCTCTTGCTGTAAAGCTGAGGTTGCATCAGAGGCCTTTGTCAGGCCAGCACTGAGCTCAAGATACCATTTTACCAAGTTGGTGTCAGCTCTTTTGAACAGAGAGAGACAAGTTCCTTCTGTTAGTCTGCTTGGGCTGCTGATGGCGAGGTGTTTGCTTTTTATTTTATTTCCAGGTCATCATTAGGGTACTTCAAATTTATTTATTTGTTCCTTTTGTGGGGTGGAGGGCAGCATCTTTCCTAATTTGGAAGGTTTTATCTTGAGTGCAACCCCATGAGTAGGACTGGGGGTGACCATCCCAAAGGTTTTGCAATAGCCTTTGATTTTTGCTCATCATGCTCTGGATGTTGATGAGTGGTCCCCAGTTTTTCCCTGCTTTCAGTTCCCTTCTGGAGGTGGGTGCTTCTGACTTCTATTGCTCTACTGCTCTTAAGCGTTAACATGAAAATCCGTGCGTGCCAGATCACATCGATGCTTCTCTCTTCTGCAAACTCGTATGTTGCCCTCCCTTTGCAATTACTCAGTTTTTCTTGTGCCAAAAACCTTTCTCTGTTTTGCATCTTTGATTGTTGGCAGTTTTGTGTTGACAAAATTAATCAGTTCTCAGCAGATATTTTAAGCCATTGAGGTAATCAGGAACCTTTTCCTTCAGTTCTCTTTGTTGTGACATATCTTCTTTATGAATTCTTTTCTCAGTAACATATGAGTCAATAAGACTTTCAGTCCTAGTAGTGGGTCTGTCGGTGCATTTGTAACCCAGAAATTTCACTCTTGACATTATTTTTCTTTCAGTGGTTGCATTTAGCACATCATTATTATATGCTGAGGATGTCTGCTGTATCCATGCTCATCTCATGAGTCCATAGTCCACACAGGGCATAGCCTTAAAAAAATTAGTATTAACTGCAATGGTCCTTGCTTTCATTCAGACAGTGATGTTACCTTTTATTCTGCGGTCCCTCCTCCCAAAGACAGCTGAATAAATGGCAGTCTTGTTTGCTTGCTTGAAAAAAAAAATTATTTCTAGCCTTGGCAGTTGGCCTGTAAAGGCTCACAGAAACTTGGAAACGAGAATGCAAAAGAACCAACGTTTCACTACCTCAAAAATCACCACAGTTGCTTTGATCTCTTTATTTGGCAGCCAGCTTCTGTATGGCCTGTGGTTAGAGCTTGTGTCTGTGTGTCCTTAAACCCAGAACGACTGTGCGTCTCCAGGCAGTTCTGGGAGGGGTGCCGGGTCGCAGGCACCCACATCGGTCCTGCTGGGGGGCACAAAGTAGGTGATGAGGCTGCCTAGAAGCTGGAGGGAGTCAAGTCCGCAGAGGTGACGGTCTCGTGCCTCCCCGCTCCCAGGTTGCGGGGGTGTTGGAAGGGGGACAGCCTGTTGCTTCAGAACGGCCAGGTTAAAGCAGTCGCAGGGAGCTGAGATTTTAGGCTGCAGCATTGCAGCTGGCAGCGTGGCTCTGCTGCCTGGCCTCAAGCACCAGCCTGCATCCAGATTTCACCCAGGAGCCCAAATCTACATAACAGGGTTTTAATTTCACATATGGGAGTTTGGATATAGGATCTTCAGAAGCAGTAAAATGTACTTCACATGAGACATACATACTTAACAGGCAGGTATTAACTTACCTGCTCTATCCTTTACAGTGGAGTGGTCAGGTTGGTGTTTCCCTGTGCAGGTGATCCTGGTGCAGTGTTGTACCTACACTGGATGTGTGATGCACAATACCAGGCTTAGTGCATTCCTTCTCTCAGAGAAAGATGAAGAAAGTCTCATGCTGCTCCATTTTCTATGAATTCAAGCAGTGTTTGGCTTCTTGGAAAGTTAGGCTTCAAACGAGCAGGGAATGAGCTGCGGAGATGTATGGAGAACACGGGACGGCGGGTACACGCACCCACTCGGGGGAATAAATCACCGAGCAAATGAGGCTGTGGCTGCTTCAGCTGAAAGGGGAGCTGCCTCCAGCACCTTTTCCTGCTTGCCATTGCCCACCATGACTCTCGCCTACTGTGCAAGTTTGCCACGTGTGACACTTCTGCTTTGCCTAAGCTGGCACTTCAGTCTCATTTCATTTGCTGCCAGGGTGGCACAGGGCAGCTATAATCCTAGGAAATCCCCCACCCCGCTGCGCTGCTGTTTGATGTCCTGGGCTGTTCCGTGCCCGTGGTGCTGGCTGGTCAGGCGGGTGCTGGCGTGGTTCCCATTGCTGCTGCAGTGCTTGGAGGAGCTGCCAGCACGCAGGAGCTGGAGCAGCTTCAGCTCCAAGATGACTGTGTTCCCAGGGTGCTGTAACCCTTTGGTTCATTAAGGGCCACATCCTGCTAAGCGCTGAGCACCCAGGAAAGGTGATCTGCAGAGAGCAGGAACTGGCTCCATCCCCCAGAGCTCTTCTGCCCACGGTGCTGCAGCCTCACCCCTGGTAATGTGGGGAGAGCAGATGACTCACCTGCCCCAACCTTGTTTCTGTGGCAGTTTGAAGACATAAAATGAAGAAACAGAGAGCAGAGGGAAGGCAGGGCCAGGAGAAGCAGCAGCAGATATTAACTCCATCCCACCTGGGAGGTGAGCCAGCTGAGTTTCAGCCTTTTCCCTTTGCTTGGGCAACTAATAGAGCAAGGGAAATATTTGTGCAGTTACTCAGCACTCTCACGCCTTGGTCTGCAGGTCTGCTGAGGTGTCTCCCAGTGGGAATGGATGGCACAGAGAGAAACGTGTAGTCAAGACAAGCTGAGCAGAGCTGGGTGCTGTCACCCCCCTAACCCACCTGTGAGTCTGAAGAGCTGGTGAAGTCCCCCCATCCCTGACAGGTGTCCGGGGTCCTTCCTGCCCTGTGTCTCTGAGCCTGCCCTGACCCCAGGTGTGCCGATCGCTGGCTTGGTGGTGTGATACGAGTGTGACTGCCCCTTAAGTCACAGCAAAAGTGAACTGAGCCCTGGTCGAGTTCTTGTCTTAACGCCTGGTGTCACATCCTGGGCTGTTCCACACAAGTTCTGGGCGGGTGCGTGGTGATGGCTTGGTGATAATTTGCTCTCTATTATGCTTCTCAGGAGGAGAGGGATCAGCCCAGTCCTTGCTGACCCTCCTTGTTCTGGTATTACCGGCTTTGCAGGTTCTGTGCAAACAGCTCAAGCTCTCGGCTAGGGGGGAAGTCTGTCCCTACTCTGCAGTAGGGGTGACAACCTGACTGAGAGGGACTCCCAGGAATGGGGCTGAGCTTTGAGTCTATCCTCACCCACACATGGAAACTTAGAGGAGTCTTTGCTCCAGTCACTGATCTTCCTGCTTCCAGGATAAACCAAACTGCTGCTTGGCCACGCTGCTGAGTTCTGTTTTGTGAATTCAGTCCAGGGCAGAATAAGATTAGCAGTGTGCTGCTCTAACTGCAGGATGTTCCTGCAAGACCTCTGGTACGAGGGTAGAGTGGGTCCAGGGGGGAGAGCAGGGGGCTCCATGTATGCAGTGCCTCCATGGCCTTGCTGTGGACTTGGGCGTTTCTGATGTTGGTGCCTGGGAGAATCTGGGCCTTGATGAGTCTATAGGTTGTTTTAGCCCTCACTTGAAAGTCCCTCGATATCCTCCAAGCAACAGCACGTTGTGGGTCAGGCAGGGGAATGCGTTGGAGCAGGGAGCTCTGCCGTATCCATGCCCGCTTTCGCATGGAGGCTGAGGGGGTGCAGGAGGGAGGTTGGGGCGGTAGCTGTGAGTTGTGCAGCTGGGCTCCACGGGCCGTGTGCTGCCTTCCTGCCTCCTGTCACTCCGTGTTCCCTGCTCTGCTGGGTCCTGGGCTTCGGGACAGAGCACTCCTCTTCCCAGGGAGCTGCCTCCTCTGTGGAGGCCGTGGGCAGCCTTTCCCCAGCACAGGGTGGGAGGCACAAGAGAAGACGTGGTTTTGGCAGGTTGGCTGGAGGTGACCGGTGTCCCAGGCCTTTGCCTTGGTAGTGTGTGCTTGAGTCAGTTTACTAAATCCTGCCCAGGTTCGGCCCCAGGCTCCTGGTTATTGAGGTGGCTCAGGCAGGGGCTCTGGGGTCTGTGCTCACTGCTTGGCTTCTTTCACAGGCTCCGAAGAGATTCACATAGATGAGAAAACTGTCAGCCCCCACCTGACCTTGTCTGAAGACAAGAGGACGCTGACGTTCAGCCCCAAGAAAGCGAAGGTGTATTTGGACTGTCCCGAGAGATTTGACCACTGGCCCAATGCTTTGGCTACCACATCTTTCCACACAGGAGTCTGTGCCTGGAGGATCAGCGTGGAAAAGAGCTGTGCCTACAAGCTGGGCGTTTCGTACAGCTCCCTGCAGCGCAAGGGCTCCGGCAACGCGGCCCGCCTGGGTTACAGTCCTGTCTCCTGGGTCTTCTCGCGCTATGACAGAGAGTTCAGGTTCTTGCATGCGGGTCAAGAACAAAATGTGGAGCTGATCAAGTCTCCAGCAGAGCTTGGCGTGCTGATTGACTTTGCTGGAGGCGAGGTGCTCTTTTATGACCCTGATTCCTGTGCCATCCTCTTCTCCCACCGGGAAACCTTCACTGCTCCCCTCTATCCTGTCTTTGCTGTGGCCCACCAGAGCATCTCGCTTGTGCACTGAGTGAAGCAGTGCGCTAGCTGGGCTTGGCAGAGCTGAATGTGAATATATATTTGTATATACAATATATAGTCTTTTCATTTAATGCAAGGAGTCTGGACAGGGCTGCCAGCTGGCATACGGTGGCATTCAGGCAAGGCCATCAACCTGAATGCCTGCTCCTGGCTTGTTTTATGGCAACTGTCTTCCTCTAGGCTACGTAGTTACCCTGTGTTTATCCTGCATCAGTCAACGATTCACCTGTAGCGAGGACCTGAGGTTTCCAGGGGAAGCTGAAGGAGTTCCTGATGTACCTGTGAACAGAACACCGTGCTTCCTGAACCCTGCAGGACGCAACCTGGGCATGCAGGCGTGCAAACCAATGGCCACCACTTCGTTCGCTGTGTGTTTATTGGGCATGGCTCTTGCGTGCCAGGAGCTCGCGGGTTGTGCTGTCAGTGTGGCTGTGCTGCCACCTGCACTGCTTTAGCCAAATGCTTTTTCAGTTGTTCCCCATCCTGGGTCCATCCCTGTAAAATACGGCCGTGTTTGCTTTAGTGTGGCTGGCCTTGGCTTGGAGAGTTGGAGGAGTGCTCTGCTTGGGCCTGGGTATTCCAGAGGGAGAATAGCTGCCTGCTCAGCAGCAGTGAGTCCCCTGGGAGCCCAGGTCCTCTCAGGCTGCTCATCAGACCTAGCACGTGTGTTTTGCTCAGTTTTGAGCTGGAAGCAGAATGGAGGCTAAGATGACCTCTGAAAACAGCAGTACTGGGACTTGGGACAGTCTGAGTCCAGACTCTTTCCAGCCTGTTTTGGGTGAATCTCTTAAGTCCCTGTTCCACAGAGGAACTGTTTCCATCTGCTGGTGGTGGGGAGGAGTGGATGATATGTGCTGTGAACTGCAGCAATTACAAACCTTCTTGTTGAGTTTGAAATGTGGTGGGCTTTAGAAAACAGCAAGGGGCTCCCCCAAGGAATTTAATCTTGGGTATTGCAAGGCTGGAACTGATTTTCACAGCACTTTGCAGAAGTTCTGTCATCTTATTTTCTGGGGCCGCAGCTTGGTGCGACACTTGCTGTGTTTTTAGCTGAAGCTGCAGCAGGCCATGCTTCGCAGCTGAGCTCCTGCTAGGGCAGAGGTAGGGCAAGCGGAAGAGGATCAGCTGCCAACATCACAGCATTAAGCTCTCCTGAAGACACACCAACTTCTATGGTCCAGGCTTTGGCATGAGGAGAGATGGGGAACTGGGGAAAGGGAGGCGTAATTCCCTCCCAGCCTCTGCTATTCGGGAAAAGGGCAAGGAAGGCAAAGCGGGTGTGCGCTGCAATCCACAGGAGTCCAGGCTGTGCTTAGCTGGCAGACCCACGCCTGGGAAGGGAATAAGCTCAGCCCTGTGGATATGCTATGAAAGGGTTGTACATGAGACCCTCCTTGGGTTGGGGAACACGGATTAATCTTAATATCTGCCTCCATCCCTCCTTGCTAGAATTAGCTTTCTAGGGTCTCTCTGGATGACACCAAGGTGCTCTGCACCCTGGCCCCAGCTCCATTAGCAGAAGTCAACACTGTTTACCTTCTTCCGTATAGTGTTGGGGGAGCTATGGAAGGAAAAGGCATGAAAGAAGAGCATGGCAAATATGCTTTTATTAGACTAGTAGCCCTTCTCCTGCGGAGAGCAGGCTCTGGCGAAGGTTTCTTCCTGTTTCTTACTGAGATGGCAAGAGGCATGAGGAACATTCCCTGCTTGGCAGCAGCCTTGGTCCTGCTCGGCAGTGCGGCTCCTGGAGCTAGGCCTTCTCGATAAGAGCAAGGAGGTGGCTGAGCGAGGGCAGGACGTGCTCCGCGGGTACCTCCGGCTGCCCGGCGGCCGCGAGCAGGAAGCTGTGCATGCCCACTGCCCTGGCTGCCTTGTAGTCCCTCACGTAGTCGTCCCCTACATGAGCCGCCTGCTCTGGCTGAACCCCGCCAAGGCGCAGGGCCTGCTCAAAGATCCTCTTGTCCGGCTTGGCGAAACCCGCATCCTCAGAGGTCACGACAAACTCAAAGTGGTGCCGCAGGTTGCACTGGGACAGAATCTGCTCAAGTCGCCTGTCGAAGTTGGAAATGACCCCCATGCGAAAGCCCCGCTCGCGGCACCCACTCAGAGTCTCCTCGGCTCCTGGCCGCA